GCTAAGTGTGACAAGATCAGGCCTAAACTTGTTAATGACTTTTTATAGTAGAATTAGTAGAAAGTAGAATTAGTAATAGTGCTTCTCCCACAATTATTTACACCCTGAATGGAGCAGGAAAAACACTTTTTGACTTCAAGACTTTTTTTCTTAAACTTTTCTTCTACAAAATATAGGCTTATTCCTTTGACCAAAAAGGAAAAAAAAGTATTTTCTCACTAGCTTTACTTGAAAACATAAAGAATATGTTACCTCCTCTGGTGAATGAAGTCTTTTTTAAGATGAGGCCTAAGTTGCTACCTACAGGGCTTTTTTCCTCATAGAACTCCCAGAACGGAGTTCCGGCACCATTTTTGAATAGAACATTATAGAGCAGGCAAGGTGGGTTGTATGACGTGTGTGAGTTCCGGCACTTTTTTTTTTTTTTTTTTATAAAAAAAGCACTGGCTACCTAACCAACAAAAGAAATTCTTGAGGCAGAAATAACTTTATCACCAGGTCACTTTTATTTATCCAAATTCTTTTCTAAGAGGCAGTAAGCTGCATTTCTAAATCATGCTAAAAATCTTAAAGCAGAACCGTTAAAAAATATACACCAATGGATATCCTCAACTGCACACTCAAGATAGAAAACTCCCTTTCTTGTTATAAACATTTGAAGCATATCTAAACTATGATAATGCATAATTTTCATCCTGATAGTCTTATAAGCATGACTTAGAGGCATTTCACTGTAGACAGCAAAGATTATACTTCAGTCATCTTACCTGCTGTAAGTAATTAATGGGATTAATTAATGGAACTCCATGTCCAATTATGTGGCTTCCAAAACATCACCTGCTAAGTTTTCTAGGCTGTCAGAGTTTCCTCGGCCATTCTGAAATCCTCATAATTTTTTTACTGATATTTGCCATAGCTGAGGAATTAGATTGCTCATCAGATAACACTGTTACATTCATGAAAGCATGAAATGCATGGGGGATGTTACCTAGTTTGGGTAATGAAACATCTGCAAGAAAACAACCAAGCTCAGAGAGCACCAAGAACACCTCACAGATATATCTGTACACTTTCTGCAGACACCATTTTTATAAAAATATAGGACTTTATTGCAACTGAAGCTGGAGTTCTTATTCATTTTAATTTTTTTGCACTTTCATTCACAACTAAGGTTGTCTGTTATTAAAGACATTTAATATTTTTATAATAAAAGCATTACATGACCAACAAAGCTAGAAGTCATGGTAATTTATCTTTTGTTGTTTCTTCCTTCACAGTGTTTCAAGTGTAGAAAACAAACCTGATAGTATTTGTGGTTGAAATCACTTTAAATGAAATGCAGATGCAGCTTTGATATAACCAACAGTTAAGTCCCCAGCAATATTTTAATTATAGTTCTATGGTATCAAAAATGGGGGGGGTAGCCATGCCAGGACCAAATTCACTCATTCTATTGTAAAACTGACCTCAAATATTTAGATTACTTCCAAAATTACGCTTTTCAGCTAAAGATGTCCATTATCAACAACACCTTTTGTGCCCATTTAAATTTCTACATTTTTTCCAATTTACTGAACCAGAGTTCAAATGAAAAGAAGTTTTCAAGTCAGTAATGTAAATGTTAATGCACACAACATGAATTCATAAAATGTTAAGATAACTAAAAAAGAAAATTCTATTCATCTAAGAGAAGCTACTTAAGTGAACTATTTTTATATTGTTCAATTGAACCTATAATTATTTTCATTCTGCAAGCCTTCAAAGAATATGCTAACTATGAATATATTTCTGAAAATAGCATAGCGTTCATTAACAAGGGCAATATTAAAGAATTATAGGTAGCTAATAGCTCCCTTTCTGACATTCCTCTTTTAAGATGATGGGCATCATCTTAGTACAGAGACCCATACTCTAAATGTATTTATAGATATGCATATAATTTTCAAAGTAAAGGAATAATAATATAGATTATAGTATGACTGATGAGAGAAACAGAGGTATCCCAGATAAACTATTTAACTCTTCCTAAAATTGAAGGTAGTCCTTCTCATTAACCATTTTTTAAAAAGGTTGCTGTAGTTCATACATTCTGTAAATCCTTGGTCATGAGACAGAGTTCAGGATCCACCACATGTGTATTTAGATTTCACAGGCTAGTAATTCAGAGCAAATAAATTGTAGACAACAAAGAAATTAACTTACAATAATTATTGTCTTGTATTAGAATCGTTGCCCAAATGTTATGATAGGACTGAATAATTATTGTTCTTATTCCAGGAGGTGGAATCTCCAGAAAACATGGCTAATAAAAACATTTTGATAAAATTGTAACTATTCAGGGAAAACACTTTAACACATCTCAGAAGTAATAATTGCATTAATCCATTAATAGTAAGCACAGCTGTGCTAGAAAAACTTCTAGGAAAATATTTAGCCATGGAGGGAAGGAGAAAAGAAAGGATGATTCTAAAAAAATGCCTACCGTAAGAATTGCAGGTAAAAGCTCATAAACTCTGCAGTGTCATTGTCTGAAAACAATAAGGCAAAGGGCCCATTCTAGACATTGCATTGAACAAAAATCCAGCAATGTGGTTAAATGCAAATATACGATGAAAGAATGTCTGATATAAACCATACATAAACAAAACACTTGTGTTTTCTTCTTCCAACAATTTGAACGTGACGGTGAAAGATCACAGCATGCCTTTATAAGAATTTCTTTAACCCACCAGGGAAGAACAGAAATACAAACCTACAGAAAATATTAAATCACTAATATGAAATTAAGCAAAAACAAATATGTTTAGAAGTAGCATCCACCTTGAACCAAAACAAAACTAAATGGAACAACTTATCGAAAAGGCTTTGTTAAAGGCTAGTTGCATATAGGTACTAATTGTTGAAGTACTAATATTGCAGCTTTACAATTAATAAAGTGAAGCAATATCCATAGATAATGAGAAGTGAGAGAAATGAGAGTCTCCAAAAACTCATCCCATGCTAATTTCACAAGATTAGTGCTGAGCAGTGTAAGACACATCGCAACTTTGTTGCTTCATGTGAAACTATTTGTGTGCCCATATGTCATAATTTCAATTTATAAAACTAGTCTATTTGCATGCTGGAAGCTATGCGTACATGTTGTGATACAGACCTAATGAGAGTTCAATGCAAAAAGGTAGGAAATACTTTTAAAATTAATAAAATTATACAATTTATTTTCAAACAGTTACCTAAGGTATAACAAGAGCCTATCCTTTCTAACTACTTTAAGATAAAATTAAAATAATGAACCAGCTAAAGCATCCCCTGCACGCCAGCCTCTCAAATTTCTCATTCTTTTCTACCCTTGTACCTTCAAAACGAATATGGCATTTGTAAATGGATAGGTAATGAAACTTCTGCACTGAGATTCAAGAATTGGGTCGTATTACACTTGACCATAATATCAATAATGCATCTCAAATTATCAAACAAGTCCACTTAAAACTAGCTGTAGTGTTTAAGCCCCATTTAAACTAATGAAACAAGAAAATAGTAACTAATGTAAATCTTGCTTCCAATAAGACTGGCAGAACATTTTAAACCTGTTAGTCGGGAAGGCTATGATAAACATACTGGATGTATTATCAGTTGTACAGTATTTAATTAAGCCCCCAACATAGTAATCATTATTACTGCTATGGGAATAAATGAGAGCTTGGGCCAGCAGGATAATGGCATCTTATGCTATTTTCCCCTTTACATTTTCTTGCCACAAATCTCTGTGACTTGATTCGGTAGGTTGAAAAGAGTAATACAAGCCAACACATAAGACAGGAGATATGTCTATATCTGTGTTTTAGCAGATTAGGTAACCTGCAAATTCACTCTCTCCCCTGGCGTATTCCTGTTCCTCCTGTGCTCCATTGTGCCTGAGAGAAGGGACAGATATCCCTTTGATGTCAGAGGGAAAGCTGCAATATACCTTACTGTGCTTAGAAGGATGACCCCAGTATCAAAGGATTTTAACCAAAAACAGATTTTATCTTTTAAAAATAAAGCACAAATGTGATGTGTTTGTTCAAACATTGGTATACTTGCAGTATATATCTCAGAATAACTAACAATGTCTTTGGTTATAAATATTATCAGAAGAAAAGCCGTAATGATATAAAGAAACCCATATGCAAACTTTCAGCTTACTAAGTCAAAAGAAACTATTGACTATCACTATCACTGGTAAAGAGCTAATTGCTGTTTCATTAAAAATAATTGTCTCCAAAAATATGAAAGTTATATACAGTACATACAGTCAATTGTTTTATTTCTTAACTGAGATTCTATTTTTCTGTTTGATGTGTTCCTATATGAACACAATTATGACATTTTCTTGGTAATACTGCTAAAATAGTTTGCTTTTGCCGTCTTCCAAGACAGTGGCCCCCAACCTTTTGGGTACCAGGGAGAAAGGTTTTTCCATGGACCAGAGGGGGCGTGGTTTTGCATGCTATCTGCATCCCACAGATGGGGCTTTGCTTGTTTGTTGGCATGCTGCACACTGATGCTCATCCACCGACCGGGGGTTAGGACCCCTGTTCCAGGACATATTTAACATCCTAGTATAGCCTACAACACCAAATTCCTTGTTGTTCTCTCTATCTAGCTTCTGAACTGAAGACAAAATCATCTGGGTAAAACTGGCTGGGATTAAATGTGTATCTGGCACTATGTAATGTTGGAAAGTGTTTTCACATAGAATTTTGAAACGAAACTCTGAGATTTAGCTTATAGTAACTATTATTAAAATAGTTAATATTATTAGATAATAGCACTAGGAGGAACAGTGATTATTATTTAGTTCATATTATCATGGGAAAATTGTCTTAATTTACCTAGGTGACTACATGAAAACCACTTTTGCTTAAAATTCTTCCATTGGAAGAAACTGATATTTACTTATTCTTATTTGTTTCTTTTCAATGTCTTTTCAATTAAAATAAAATTGTATTAATACTTACTCCCAAAATTCCATGACTGGAGAAGTAGCATTCTGCAAATATTGTTGAGTGCAATTGCTCATATTAAGTTTCTGAAATTCCACACAATGTTCTATAATAGAACAAAAAATATTATATAACATTTGTCTTAATTTTTGTTTATTTATGGAGGTAAAGTTTTCAAAAAAAGGTTCGTTCATGTGCTTTAGTAATTAATTCCCATTATCCTATTCTTTCCATATTTTCTCTTTGTCCAATGGAAATATAAGACTAAAAATTTCTAAGAATAGAAACAGACTTTACAAGTGACAACTAGGGAATTAAATGCTTTGCAATTCAAGTGATTACAGTTTAATTCCCAATGCATATTACTGGCTTGAGAATCATCTACTATAAACAGCAAGCTAAAAGCTTTAATCTGTTAAAGAAGAAAGTAGAATAGTCATACTGGTAAAGCCAACGTTCCAGAAATTGAAGAAAGAAATCAAAACTTTTCTTTATAGGTGAATTGATACATGTTCTAGCTGGATATTATAGAATATTAGATAAGATTTCTGAAATATATGTCCAAAATTACTGAAGTCCATGAAAACTCTTGGATTTAGTTGAACACTATAGAGCTGATCAAAACTCCAGAGCTATTTAATAATAAAATAATGGTGATAGAAAATTCCAGTTCTTAATAAAATTAAATTGTTACAGAGATTAGATGAAATACATTTTAATTTCATGTTGTTTTTTCCAAATTCTCTGCTATTCCACTCTGATTTAAACAGTTTTAAATTAATTAAAATAATATAATTAATCAACATAAATATAATGTAGAATAAATACCATTTATAATTTTGTTAAATTGCAACCATGATGAAATTAATGCTTTAACTCTGAAAATAATAATAATTTTTAAAAAGATTATTTGACTATCTGAAATGAGATGTAAATGATAAGAGAAATCATGTTTGGTCAAGGAGTGTGTATTGTTTCTTACAGAAGGTAAGAGGCATAGTAATAACTCTATCTGTCTGTCTGTCTGTCTACCTACCTACCTACCTACCTACCTACCTACCTACCTACCTACCTACTATCTTGTCTGTCCAGTATCTGTGTCTGTCTGCCTCTCTAACATCTACTGTGTGTGTGTGTGTGTGTGTGTGTGTGTGTGTCTGTCTGTCTGTCTGTCTGTCTGTCTATATCTGCTCCCAGCAATTCTGGGCAGTTCAGCCTACACAGACACACACACAGAAAATAAACATCAACAATCTCAGAAGATTCTACAGCAATAATATCTTATTAAGAATTAATGTTCATTCTAGAAGAAAAAAGTTTTTGTCTGGTCTTCATGCTTCATGCAGTGTTTATTTAGTGCAGGGGTCTTCAAACTTGGCCTTTTATGACTTGTGGACTTCAAGTCCCAGAATTCCTCAGCCAGCTGGTGAGGAATTCTGGGAGTTGAAGTCCACAAGTCATAAAATGATCAAGTTTGAAGACCCCTGATTTAGTATAATGATCCAGATAATATATTTAAAAATGAATACATGTACCATGTAGACTAGAGTCATTGACAATGCAGCATACAAGTTTGGTTGCAGAGTCATCCAGATGTTTAGACCGGATTTGGCCTTTTTGTCCACCAACTGAGTCCTTTCCCAGGACCTGGGATAGGCAGGTGTTGTTCTTTAATAATTTAAATGTATTGTTGAATTATTATCATATGTGAGGGCTGCTTTATAGATGTTTTTTTCAGAATTTAAGATGTTCACAAAGAGTTGGAAGATGTGTTAAATGAATAAAATTCGGAGATATTATGTATCAATAAGCCTTTTAATCTTCAAAATTCAGTGTTTAAATGGTAAAAGAATAATACAACGTACTGTTTCATCACAAATGAACATTAACAGTGTCTACATTTAGTTTATATAAATGTTTGAAAATTTCATAAAACAATTAACTGTTTGGTATGATTACCTATGTCCCTGTTTTTTCAGTGTTTTTATGGAAATAAAAGTCGGGAGTTGGATGACATACACATCAGCAGCAGCAGCATTGACAAATTCACCATCCATCAATTGCAAAGGGTGGCTTCACTCAGAACAGCTTACATCCTGCTACAATATCTGTAATACCATCAAACATCCACATCTGCCTGGAAGGATTCGAGAGGCAGACAAAAATGCCAAATCCAGGGTGAGCATCTGGCTGTGGTGAACCATTTAATAAATTATAAATATTACTATTATTTACATTATCACACTTTTGTGCTAGTACCTGTGTTCCACTCATGACCACAGCTTGCCCAGGGAAGCTCCATTGTGAAGCAGTTAAATAGATAAAAAATAGCCCATGCTAAAATGATGATATAGTAAACATTCAAATGTGCTTCAATAACCTGGGTGGCGTATCCAATCCCTGAAAAACATGGAAAGATACCTTTTTAAGCTATAAATGAAAGTAAAAGCATGAGTTTAGATAGAAAACAGTCTGAATGCATACTTGATACGCTCTAGTTTCTAAAACACATTTCCCCAGTCTAAATGTACTATGTATAGTAGAAGAATGGGCTATCTCAAAGACAGAGCCTAGGTGACCCTGAAAAAAAGCAAGCAGGAAACTAATTAGTATTTGGATAGAAGACCATCAGGAAATCCCAAAGCTATAGGCTAGACTGGGAAGAAAGGCAGGAGCTGAAAAGAATAACGCCCCAAAATAAACCTGCATTGGCAATTAGGTTGATTAAAGGACCCAGGAAAGAGTTTTTAGGTCCTTTTCTATTTAGCAAATAGGCACATTCCAAATTAAGAATACAATAAATCAGTCTTTAAGTGATCACTTTTTACAAGTCATTTTAAGGTTTGGCATGGGATCTTAGGCTAACATTCATTTGTAAGGCAAGCAAATATTTCAACTTTCCATGCTAAATAGGTTAGAAAACTGAGAAAAGGACTTTTCCAAGAAACAAGTTCATGGTCCAAATGTAATCTCTAAATTTACATCTCAGATTCTTATGCTGTATTTTTTATTACTCAGATGATATGAGTAAACACAAAGAGCATTCATGAGATCATTGTGCATTCAAAGGCAATTAGGCAACTACTATATATTTTGTTGTCTTTAAGGGCAACAACATTTGAAGTGTTCTTTCTCTTTTGAATGCTGAAAATTCAGACTACCTGTAAAATATTTTTGATAGTCATAAAGGTGCTTTTGTGTGTAAAAAAAAAAAATACTTGAATACTTATACCAAGGAAAAATGAATAAGATGTATACCTTCAAACAATGGGCAAACTTTTCTCCAGCATGTAATTCCTCCTTCACTAGTAAACTGCCCCAAAGCAGTTTCCAAGAAAAACACTGGTATTCCACAGCAAATGAAGAAAATGACATAGGGTATAAGGAAGGCACCTAAATCAAACATTGAATAGATATTATTAATTCTAATCTAATACTTTAGAAAGATAAAATTAGACATTTAATTTCATGTATGCAATCATTGCATAAGACTACTACCAATACATAAAAGATCTGGCTTTGAATTCAAAACTAAGTATTCTAATTTTAGTTAAATTTTGTATAAAATCCTATGTAACTATACACACACATAAAAACACACACAGAGAGAGAGAGGGAGAGAGAGAGAGAGAGAGAGAGAGAGAGAGAGAGAGAGAGAGAGAGAGAATAACTTTTCATGTTGGAAACATATTTCCAGAATATCAGTGCAGAATGCTGAGGATATGTGCTCAACAGATATGATTTCATATCAGAAAATTAAGTCAATCAGCAAGGTATTAATTAAATCTGATGAACTTACAAAAGTAAGGTATGGAAAAAAAATTAATAGCATGACTTAATGAAGCTGTAAGGTATCCATTAGAAAACTTCTTGATTATGCAATAAATAACATCAATTATAATCTCTACCAGCAACTCCTATTTAAATCTACTCAAACATCAATCTGAAGTGCCTGAAATTCATTCCCATACAGAACTAAAACCGATATATCTTATTGTAAATAAGTTATAATATGATAGGTATAGTCTGATTTCTGCTCATTAGTAGCAATCATCATACAAAGAATGTATTATGAAATTTTGCTTCACTGGAACTTAGTCCAATGGATGTCCTGAACATTAGACAATTTTATCACTCTAATTTTTATCATTAATTAAATGACATAAATTGTCAAAAACAATTTATCAATGTATGATTATGTCCTCTTGTGAAGGAATGAATCATTGCTCATTCTTAGGATTTCCTCAGTAATGGACACGTTTTTCTCCATTATTCCATTAAAATAAAATTTAGCTGTATTTTCTTAAGTTCTTATAACTTGCTAAAAATAAATGAAATTTACCAGACACAGTCTGCATAGAAAACTGAGTATATAAATATATAGTTAACCCTACATATGTTATGCATATTTTTAATAATTATATATTTTCCCAGTTAAATTATAAAGTATATTAGCACTTTCAATCTAATTAGTAAACATGCTTAGGTACTCTTCTATCTATGGCATGCCACAATACATACATTACATTGAAAAAACAAAAATATTATTTTTAAAATTTTACAGAAAAAGTGCAATATTTGAAAGTATGCTTCATTATAATGGAAAAAGCTCCATAGATTCAAATGCTCTTAGTATTAGTAATTGTTCAATTTTTAAGTAGAGTAATAGAAAAGTAAAACTTTTAGAGAAGTTTATCTCTGAAAAATTGAGTTGGTTCCATAACTGATGTCAGCTTCATATATTTATATCTATGTAAGTTTTATTAATAATGTTACCATAGATAATTACATTGAAGTTACTAGTTCAGAGCAATGCAGAACATTTGCCTCAACTGCATAATATTAACTGTTCAGTAATAGCATTTTTATTTTATTTTACAGACTCCTTTCATTTTTAATTTTGTTTTAGAGAATATATTTTGAATATATACTAATGCATGCTATTTCAAGTTTTCTAAATATATTTTTTTGATTATTGGTTTTTTAAGGCTGCCCAATTCCTCACTGGATGATATTCAAAGTTGAAAGCGTGGTTGTGGGAGCATTTTAGGAAGGACCTCCCCTTATATTCCAGACAGTAAAAGGAAAAGAGGGGAGAAATACTTTCAGTCTTGCACAATTCTTTTGATGTAACCTTACAATAAAGATAGACGTATTTGTCTAGATTACCTTGCAAGGCTAACATAATCCTATTCTATATTTCAGAATTTATTCATTCCTATTGTAAACTGTATCAAATGCTGAAAACAAAAAAAGATAAATACAAGATTTCTTGAAATAATCGAAACGAGCTAACCCATAAAATGCAGGTAGAGCCTTTGGCCAATAGCACTTTTGTGCAGTTCCGACTTGGGTGCCACTTGAAACTATTTCTGCAATGGGAGGCTTCACTGACAGTCTTTATCAATTCATGATTAGTTTATTGCAATCCACTTTACATGAAATTTGCCATTGAAGCTTCAGTTGTTTCCATATATAACAGTCTATTTTGTTATGAATGCTCCTAAGTTTCCCCATGTGAAATCTATACTGTGGAAACTCCATTGTGTGCCAGATTGCTTCAGGATACAATTTAAGATGTCAGATGCAACTTTTAAAGCCCAATATGCTTAGACTTTCAGTATCTTAGAGATGATCTATAGTGGGTAAAAACCTGCTCATCCAATTCCAACAGGGAGAAAAGATACATTACGTAAGAATTACTCTGTCGTTTTTGAGGGCCATTATGGTTGACCTTTCTCAGGGATTAAAACCTTTCCTCATTTTTAATGACTTTTCCTTCCATGCCATATTTCTGAAAAGTGGTGAAGATCTAGTGCTTCAGGACTACTCCATACAGTAGGTGGGATGGATTGTTGCAGTACTCCTGAGATGTGGGTGCATTTTTTGTGATGTAGTGAGCAGAGTACTGATTATAATTTCCTTGTGGTGTTATTTTTTAACATCTTTACTGTAAACAGGTAGGAAATGTTCACCTTACTGATTTCTGACAGAACAGAAATCTGAGCAAATTAAATCACTTAATCAATAAAACTAATATTTCAACCTGGCATCTAGCCAGCTGTGGTGCTGTCTGAAAATTATGGTCATCACAAGCCAATACATTTGACACAAGTTTGGGAGCTCTGATACAAAACAGAAAACAAATGGAAAATGGGAGGTTTAGAAGTCAGATTGTGACATATCCAAATAATGTCAATCAGATTAAATTTGGCTATATAATTCCTTTAAACACTTGATCTATTATTCATATTGACAGTGTGTTGTACTGTTGTACACAACAATCTGTGGATTTACTTGATACTCAAACTGAACTTCGTATCAAAAATGATGTTTCACATTATATCATTTCCTTAAGTACTTGTATATTGCTTCATTTTTCACCATGTTGAAAAAGAATGCTACAATATATACGGAACTAGCAAAAATGAATTAGATTCTTCATTTTAGCACAAAACCTTATAAGAAGAAAATACAAATGCAGCCTGTAAATCAATTAAGACATTTGGTTTACTGGAGTTTCCTTAATAAAATATTCCAAGTGAATTATTTCCCTGATTTAAACAATAGCAAAGATATTGAGTAATACATTGTTACTCTGAACCAAACAATACAGTTCTAATAAATGCTTGTCTAAATATATTTAACTGAATAGAGTGCAAAGTTTAAAAAGTCAAACAGAATGTATTTGCCTTCACTGTACACCTATATTTATTTTACTGATACATCTAAACTGGAAAATAAGGGAAATATGGTTGGTGAACTAAAATAAAAGGGTTAGCCATGTAATATAAAAAGGATTTGCCTAGGTTCTGCATCATAAAATAAAAGAATTGTCAGGTCCCCAAATCCTTATTGTTTTCCTTGCGTATATACTCTTTTGCTCTTTTTGGGGGGTCTGCCATTCTGCTGGGGGGAAGGGGGGATATTTGCTTTCACTTGGGATAACTTTCGCTTTCTACCTTTCCTCTCCCACCTCTATCCACTTGAGAAAGGAATATGTTTCCCTTATCAGGGAGACAGTTACAGAGATGTGCGCCAACTGTGCCAGTTATCCACACATCGTGCCACCTGTGGATTGGCTGGATTTCAAATGGACATTATGATTCTAGTGGGAGGAGGAATATTGCTGGTTTAACTATACCGTTTAAGCGGGATTTTCTCCAGATCTTGCCTTGACTTCCCTACTGTCACTAACCCCTAATAAAAGTTTCCTTTTGAGACAATGCCTATTTAAAGACTTCTGCTTTCTTGGGTGGTTAGCTGAGGTAGGTCCTTATAAGAATGAAGAATAGACTAGCAGTCATCAATAAGACCAGTTAAACTGAAAGTATCACTTCATCTTGATTTTCTGCCACTATGAAGCAACAGAAGGCAATATAGAAAAGCAAACACACCTACACACTATGCTTTGTTTAAAAAAAAAGTAGCAAAGGCAACAGGCCAAATACATGTTGATACTTCTCATTTCAGAAACAACATTAATTGCTGGTCAACATTATCAGCAGAAAAACAACAGTGAAGAAGAAGTACCCACACAAAATATTTTAGTCCCATGAACTTTGGACGTATGAGTATTTTAGCATAATTTGAGCTATTCCTCTTGATTTCCATAGCTAACTCCAGATCTAGAGAGCATCCAAATATGGTGTACCTCAATTCTCAGAATTCCCAGCTAGCATGGTCTTTGTCAAAGTTGGGGATGGCTGCAATCTGTTTTACCACAACTAATTCAACATGGCATGGAAAAATGTTCTTTAAAAACAGTCAAGCATTATTGTAAAACCCATTGAATGAGTTGCAGAATGGTGCATTAAAGTCTCAATTCTATACTTAAGATAAAAAAAGACAAAAAATGAAATATCTAATGGAAAATATATTATTGAGCAATAAATTGACATTATTTCAAATAAAATCCTTTATCAAAGCTATCACTACGAAACAAAATATCATGGAATAAATTTGCCAAAAATTATATATAAAATCACTTAGAAAAGATGAAATAAAAATATTACAGTTTCTGATGTAACATTTAGCAAGCAAACATTTTAAAAAGACACTCCTAGTATTTATGTTTTCTTGAATCTACTGAAACTTTTACAAAATAATTTCATTAGTACTGAGTTTACTTTTTTTTTCTTTCCTTGTAATTAGTTTTTCAATGCCTGCCATCCTCTTTTACAAACTTGATACTAAATATCCACAGTTACCCTATTCCTAGTGTGATGATGGAATTTGATAATAAACTTCTTGCGCAAGTGATGGCATTTAGATTATATTGACATTTTAGTCCTGCATTATATTATTTGGAATATGGCTCACAATACCAAACACAAAAAAATATTACATTTTGTAAACTTAGATCCTTTCCTTGGTTATAACCCATTTTAAAGTCTTCTGTCTAATCTTCCACAAACAGAGTCATGTCGTGACCACATAATTTATCATGCTTGCCAAAATTCAGAATCAGTCATACATACTAATAAAGCTTCGGACTTGCTTTCAAACAACATCCATAGGACAAAATAAAACAAGGGTATGACACGTAAATATTTATTTTCTAAAAAAGTGATAACTCCCAAGAGATTCTGAAAAGTAACTTGTCCTCTATCTTCAATAAACAAAACAAGATTAGACCACTCAACTTATGCTGAATGTCAACATAACCAAAATATTCTTTTCTGTAGGGAGCATGGCTACAAATTACAATTAATTCTATATAGAATTGTGCTTAATGTTTATAGCTCTGCATACTGTTATATCTAATAATCCAGAAAAAATCTAAGTACCTGAATTTAAAGAAGACTAATTGATTGTGAAGGAAAACTAAGAAAATTAATGTTACTAACACTACCCCTTGGTAAAGAAAACTTCTTTTTTAAACTCTTCAGAAAGCTTTTAATACAACCTGTTTTGCTTTGGATCCAAAACCAATCTACTTGTTCATAAGCTTCTTATTAATTTGCATGAGAAAATGAATAACAACCATTTCCTCTAAATTGAAAACAATTGGCAGGTCTTCTTTTAAATCTAAATCTGAAACCATTTCAGACAGATGAATTTTGTGCAAGAGAAGTGTTTCAAGTCTGTGAGTTGGTATAAAATAGCTTATTATTTTAAAAGATCCTATGAAATTAACCTGTAGAATGTTAAGGTGAGAAAGGCAAATATAGGGATTTTATTTATTTAGAGAAAGAACAGTTTGAAGCTTTGTAATTTTTGCTTGGATGTCATCAACTTGATACATTTCTTCTCCATTCCTCTTAAAAGCATTTTAACTAAAAGGATAACTGTGCTAAAGTTCTCACCTGACTGAAAAATAGAAATGCTTATCACAAAACAAGTTTTCTGTTTTTTCTCCCCTGTGTGGGATTTTTCTTTTTTAAAATACTTGAAGGGAAATCTGTTTGAGTTGCCTAAAGCTTGAAACTCTGAAATGGCTTTAGAAGCAACTCTTTGCTTTCTGGAAGTCCACCTTTGCTTATGATAAAATCTAGCTGTTCTATTGATTATTCTAAATTAGGGATTTATTGAAAGAAGATAAGAATAAAATTTGCTATCCAGAACAGATATCCTACAAGGACCTATTAGGGTTTTGGCTCTAAAGCGAACTCTTAGGATTGCACTGTGAGTGTCACATCAAACAAACTCTATATTCACCTGTAACTATAACTTAAATAAAATAAAATTTCAAGTGCAAGAATAAATGCTAATTTGAGCTAAAGTTACCTGATTAAAAAAATCTAAGTTTGTTTTGAAAATGTTTAAAGATTTTATTTTATTAGATTTATTATTGTTGTGTTTATAAAAATGCATATTATGGAAACATGATTGACACATGTACACTTTTCATTTTTTTTACATATGGTCCTTGTTCAACATGCGGTTGATGAAGCTGCTATATGGGATTAATTACAAGCTGATGGAGGGCTTACTCTTTTACTAGAACAATTTTTTTTTTAACTTTCATCTCCAATGACAAGAGGAAAATATTTTATTTAAAAATTGATCATCCTTCTGTGTAGTAAAATACTAATCATCCACTTTCAAAGGTTCACAAAAGCATAAGTACAACTACAGTAAGCCTACCCACCTCTACTTTTATCAACCTGCCCTTTTCTTTCCCGTTTGTATATTTAACTCTCTTAAATTCCATTCCATTGCTTGGTAGCCTCCTGTTGCCTAAATATTAACCTACCATGATAAACCCTCCTTTCCCTCGCATTAAGCAAATTCAGTGTTTTAGCAGGTTGGGCAAAGCACATGCAAGCTGTGCACTTGGACAGGATGCCATCTTACCTCCTCCATTTTTGTAGCAGAGATATGGGAATCGCCACACGTTCCCTAACCCAATAATTTCCCCTGCCACAGAGAGCACAAATTCAATCTTATTGTTCCAATGGCCTCTTTCGTGCACCTTCTTGTCGTTGCTGTGGACCAAATTGGTGCTGGAGGCTTCAGGATCCTGAGCATCTTCGGGTTTGCCATTAATTATAGGGATAGCCTTTTCAGCTGTCATGACTCCCTCTCAAGCCTGGAGAAGAATGGAAAGAAAGGAGGGAAAGGGAGTACTGTAAAGGCGGCAGGGATGCTTCTGTACCGCTTTGACCACAAAGCGCCTGCTTCCCATTCTACACAAAAAGGACCAAAAAGTGCAGAAGATGCTCCGGCCAACTTCGTAAGATCAGACACCTGCTGATGGGGCTGGGGCGACTTGAGTTGGGAGAAGTGAAGACCGAAGCGGGGAAGCCCGACCTGTTTCTCTCCCACTCCCACACCCCGTAAACATTTCTTCCTGAACCAGGAACCCAGTTTTCCAAATCTGCCCGACCTGACTCTGCCGTCCCCCATTTCTTTCCAGACGAGCGGGGTGGAGAAGGCCAGATTCTTCCCCTGAGCGCTACTCACCCAGGACTCTGGCCGCGCTCTTGGCAGAAGGAAGAAGAGGTCGGGGCTGGTTCTGCGGTTGCCGTCCACCAGACCTTTGAGCGGCCCTGGCCGTCCTGTGCCACTGACGCCTGGGCAGGGAGGCAGGCAGGCAGGCAGGGAGGGAGGGAGGGAGAGCAGGCGAGGCGAGGTGAGCTGAGGCTGGCGCCCGCGGCGGAGGCGGCAGCCAGCAGCGAGGGAAAGGCGCGTGATAGGCAGGGGCGGCTTTGCCTTCTCTCGGCGCGCTGTTGCTGCCCGGCTGCAAAAGCTGCTGCGCTCCGGCCACGCGGCACAGCCGAAAGGGATTTGGACTGCTCAGCCTATGCGGAGGAGACGGGCAACCCCCCTCCACCCCACCCCACCCCACCGATTGCCCAGCAAGTCTCCCGCCTTTCCTCCGCCCCGCTCCTTGCCTCTGTTCCACCTCCTCGTAAACTATCGGGGGCCTCCTCCCCTACCTACCTTGAGGGGGAATCTGCCTACCTACACGCGCCCGTGAGGCTGAGCGCGCACGTTGGGAGCACGGGCGGTGCGAGGCAGCCGCATTTATTTGAGAGGAGGACGGCCGAGCAAAGGCGGTCAAGGAGTCAACAGCACAGCCTCTCACCTCCAGTTCGCCTGGTAGTCGGGGGAAGAGAGTTAAAGCCCGAATTCCGCTACCCCACCCCGCTCTCTGGGCTTTTGTTCTTCTGGACTGGGTAGCATCTCTGGTACCTGGGTCGGAGGTTACCTAGAACCAGAGGAGGAGCGGCACTTTTGCCCTGCTTAGTCAGCCTCCCCTCTGGGAAATACTTAGGATGTGGCTTGAGAAGAGAAGACATTTCTTCCCTTCCCACTGTGACCCAAATCCTGCCCGGTGAACCAGATTTTTCCTTCCCAAAGATGCTTTTTCACGAAGCAGCTGGACTTTCTTTCTTAACAAGAAAGTCCAGTTGCCTCACGAAAAAGCATCTTTGGGATAACTATGACCTGGACAACTGAGAATCTCCACAGACAGATCCCCCCCCTCCCAATCTCACTGGGAGAAGGCAGTGGTGGCAGGAGCCCCAGAGGATTCCATGGGACTTTGCCTCTTTTTTTGGCAACCTTTCCAGGTGTTCTCCTATTCTCTTCCTCAGCAACTCAGGCGAGCTCTTTAGCTTTGAGAAGAGCTGGGTTTGACAGATAACCCATAAGAAAAGGAGGAAACTAAAGAAAGCCCTAGAATAGCCATGGAACCTACACCTACTCTTTGTTTCTGCCAGGCTGGATCATGTGTGAATTATGTGTAAATCAGCCTTCAGACTGGATTGGGATAAATGAGCCCTGTATAAATGAGCAGACTGTAAGGGACCAGCAGCAAGTAGATGGACTCAATCACAATGGCCATCAGCGCAGCATGTTGAGAGTTGTAGAAGACCTGGTAAGGGAGAGCTCATCATGGAGAAAATCTATGGGTTCACTAGGAGTTAAAATGCCACATAATCAAGTCGGGTCTCCAAGGAACAAAGGGAGAGAGAAAGTAGGAGCAGCAACGTTCTTCCCTTGCCTACACCTCTCTCTTTGTCACCTTGCAAAGCACCAAAGTCCCGAGAGAAAATGTTGAAGAAAATAATCTGCTTGAAGGATTGCTGTTCCAAGCTTTGATCAAGAAAAAAAAGATTGCTATGTATGTGTTTATTTTTTAATTCATCCTTATCTAACCCATTGCATTACCTTCAAATTAAAAAAACACACAGCTTAAATCAAAAACATATTGTAATCAAATGATTTGAGTGCTTAATATTATGTGTTGAAAGGCCCTCAAGGAACAGGAAGAAGGGAGGAGATTAAATCCGGTGACCAGAAGACTGAGAGGATTTATAGCCAGCCAATTGAAGAGACTGAAAAAGAAGAGGAGAGCACGTCCAACCTTTCTCTAAGGAAATAGATATATAGATGATACTTGTAGAGGTTACATTGTGGTTCCTGCAGTCCATGGGAACAAAGTGTGAGAAAGGCGTTTCACAAAGGAATGTATACCTTTGGATTTCAAATAATTTAAGAACTTGAAAAGATATCTCAGAGAGCCCACATTTTATAGGAGGAAAGGAAACTAATGCGTGTTAAATATTGGTGAGAACAAAAAAAAGTATAAATAATACATATCCATTGTGTCTGATGCGGCTTTGGTGGGTTGAATCGTTGGACATTTGCCTGTCCCACACACTTAGAGCTATTTAATATAGAGGCAAATTGTGTGTGTCATTAATGCCACACATAAATGACCAGGAAAGGCATGCTAATTCTAGTGCTTTCATAAGCATGATTGTATAATATGCATAACTGAAAACTTTATCAGATTGGTGCTTTACATTTAAATGTACCAAGAATATCTCAAATGTACACTTAAGAATATAATGTGTGACATCTTTTAGTACTCACAACTTGATTTTATTTTCAGAGCTACAACCATGTGTTTGTTAGAAATATGTGATATGGTAACTGTGTTAAATAATATGGGTTTGAGTATGTGATTAGTTAAAACACAGGGATATCAAAATTAATGTTAGGAAACTATCGTTGATCCTATAATATTATTGATATATTTTATATCTGAAGTGTCTAGGCTCTAATGTTACGTTGCTTGAGGGATGTTCTTGAGATGTTCTTGCTTCTCAGAAATCTTATTTTAATCAATAGATTGATTCCTAGATTGTTGTGCATAAGAATGCTGCCTTAATTGAAAATAAATATTGTTAACCATTGTTACAGCCACTATCATTTTCTTCCTGTGAAACCCTACAACAAATGAAGCAATTTGATGATTTACTGTAATATCACAGGTATTGTGTATCAACACAAGTTGGGATAACTCCTTGAGCATATGGCTTATATTAAATTTTTTTAAAAAGAAACTATACAGGTGAATCACTTTCATAAAAAGTAAGCACAGTGAAATAAATGAAATGTGTTATTGAAATAAACATGTTTAATCATGCAGTGCTATAAATAACCACTCACCATTACCGGTAAGCAAATTGTTTTTTTCCAAAATTGCTTTCTTTTTTTGTTTCTTTCTTTGACATAGCGTTAGTGAGTTGAAAGGCTAATAAATTGTCTATAATTATTTTATTACTTTTTAATAATAAGTAATAAATCCTATCTATTGTTAATTCTATTGCCGGTCTGTCATGAAATCTTTCTATTTTATGTTCATTTATTCGATTCTGATTCTGCCTTTATTACTTTATAAGTGACTCAAGGTGGTGAACATACTAGTACTCCTTCCTCTCTTATTTTTCCACATTAACAGCCTTGTGAGATGAGTTGGGCTGAGAGACAATGACTGGCCCCAAATTATCCAGCCAGGTTTTCATCCCTAAGGCAGGATTAGAACTCTTAGTTTCCTGGATTCTAACCTGCACTATAGCTACCTGACATATAGTGTAAACTCATATAGAGCCATGAAATAGGATAAAACAGCCTGAGCAACATGTGACCCACTGTCAACTCTATGGCTGGCTGTAACTATTTTCTCGTTCTAGGTTGCCACAAGAATGGGAGGGGGAGCAGAAGATTTCTACTAGTCTAAACATTTTATTGTCCAGTGGGAACCAAGGTCATTTCTGTCAGTTAGATTGGAGCATGTTCTTTGAGGAAATCTCAAACTTTGGAGTTCTGATTTATTTGGTCTTGTGCATCGGAACCTTGATACCTGCCACATACAGTTCACACAATATTTTACAATTATTTGTGCATACAAAGTTATATGCACAAGAAAAGTAAGTGTTTTGTTTTGAATCCAGAAAAAAAAAATCTAGTGTTTTGTAAGTCCTATAAAATCAATCTAAATGGAGTGAGGTTCGTAGAACAAAAACTCAGAAATTTTGATTCTTCTGGGTTTCATATAAAAAAAACAAACTCCAACAGGAGTCTTATAACTAAGTAGAACTCCCTCTCCACTCCTCCACATGATCGATATACTGACCTGTCTGGTAATTTTCCATTGGCCTCCTTTCTCTACTTCTCTTTCTCCACCAACCTTCTTGATCTCAAATAACCATTTAGATTGTCCATTTGCTGCCACCTCTGTTGCCAATATTCTTAGGTTTTTTTCCCATTTCACCCCAAAACACCTATATCTAAAACACCCATTTCACCAGACACAGTGTCAGACCTGCCCCAGTCTGATCCCTTGGGAAAGAAAGACCCTCAACTCCATTTGGTTGAAGTAATAAGTTCTTTTACTAAAAGATGCTGGCTGCAGTAAAGTCAGGCTAGAACTAAGGTTCCCATGCAAAATGCTACAAAAGGTTTTCCCTCATCCCAGCCCTTCCTCCATGACCAGTTCATCTCCAGCCAATGACGATTTGCCTAGGTATTTTGAGACTGCTGAGATGTTTGGGTTAAACCACATTCTTTCTCAGGGTACAGGGCCTTGAGTGCTGGTATAACTTGATTCCAAGCTGCATTGTTCTTCGTCAAGCTGTCATTCCCCCTTCCCTATTTCCCATGTACACATGTCATTTATTACCCATTTGTTCAACTACCCTTCCCCCGCTTGGTCCTTGATGGTAGGATGCCGGCAAGGCGGCAAGCTGAAGATGGTAGATCTGACACACAGATTATCCAAAACTAAACATTATATACACATAATGGTTTTGTATTCACTTCTCACATATATTTTTTTAACTCATAGTGAGAGCAAATGAGTTTTCAAATATTTACTAGACCAGGGTCCCCAACCTATGGTTTACGGCCTGGTACTGGGCTGTAACCTGTTGGCCATGGGGCCCTGGGAATAGCTGCCGAGCCCCTCCCCACTCATGATAGCACTACTGCATGGGCACTAGCAGCCCCATTTGTGCGTGTGCAGGGACACTAGTACTGCTGCCAGCATCATGTGGGCACCAGCAGCCCATTTGCGCATGGCCATTTGCATATGCACGTGCGGGGCCATGCTCGCGCATATTTCCCTGCTGCTCCCTTTCCTTCTGGGCCACCAAGCCAGAAAGACTATACCTGTGTTATTTATTTATTTATTAGATTTCTGAAGGAAAAACATTTGCATATAGAGAATCAAGATGGTGAGTGGAAAGACATAGGCCATTTTTCAGCAATAACTTAGAACATCTTTGGATCGTTACTCAGCCACAACTGAAGCAATATAAAGCCTTTGCCCATTACTATTATTTTGGCCCAGCAATGATTAGAGGACTCTAGAAAAGTTGCTAGAGCTGAAATGACCAATGATAGAAAGAATGGAATGGAATAAAAGAATGCTCAGATGCAAAAGGACAATTTTGAAGATAAGTGAAATGAAGTGTTTTGTGAATGGTCTGCAAGTGTGTGAGGAATTCTA